GTTGATCGTCATCGTCATCCTTAATAAATAAAACATTTATTCATGCTTGGGTGTCGGCTGTGAATCCAGTGGAGAGAAATCCCCCACCATTAACTGCAAACTGGCATTCAGATTTGCCTCCATTTTGTTTGCAACGCCCCACCTTCCCACTCTCTCCAAAAGTTCCGCTGCTCAAAAAACAATAATTTGTTTTGTGAGCAGCGGAACGTTTTGAGAGAGTGTAATAATACCAGAAATAATACCAAATAAAGTGAAATATTATAATGTATAAACATTATAAACACTATAAACATAGCCTAGTTCCCCTCACTCCAAAACAAATAATTTAAATGTAATGGGAACAGATCAATAATGATATATATCATTTATATATATATATATTTATAAAGCTAAAGAAACAAAAACAAAGCAAACTGAAAGTAGCCTACTGTTGGGCTCATGTACCTCTCTCATTCGGCACAAATCTAAATGTTTCCATATTCGCAATGAATTTCAATGTTAAACTATTATTTATAACTTAGACTAGGCTTCATGCACGTTCATATATCGACGGAAAAAATCATCCTCTTCACATGCGCAAAAATGCACATGGCATAACAGCTGTAGACCGGTTATACTACGGACTCTTTAAATTGATCAGTGTAACATTTTATATGTTTGGCTGACTGTATTTTATTTTGATAATGAACAGACTGCGATGGCAAGTTTGAATTGCTAGAATACGTGATGTGTGTGTGTGTGTGCGAGGCGTCGGCACGATCAAACAGCTGAAACATTAAATACTCCATTTTTGATCATACAGATAAGAGTAAGACAAACCGCAAAGTGTTTACTTTTATTTTTGCACACTCACAATAAAAACAGAACATTTGTGTTTTTGTAAAATATAGCAAGGATGCGCGTTGTCATCTCGGTTCTCGGTTTCCTTTCTGTGAACTTGTTAGTGGATCGCCGCACCTCACATATCTGTTAATTATTTATGTCAGATATATTTAGCATATTTATACCTTTGCGATATAGATTATGATTGTATTTTATTTTTATGAAAACAAATTTTGTTATTTTTAATGTAACTAACATATATTTTCCTTAAATCATCCTGGCGACCCATTTTTAACCCAGGGTTTGAAAACCTAGGCTGTATAGTTGGGTCCATATAGAAACTTGTGAACGATGTTCTTATAGTTGTGGCATCACTGTTTAGTGACGTCATTGAATGTTCCGGGAAAACTGAAGTTGTATTGTCAGTGTCGGTCACGGCGCCTTTTTACTGCTGATTTGGATCCGGCAATGTTTCATTTACAAATTAAGCCCACTTTGTGCGGTTTCAAGGAAACACTAAACCCTTATGACCATGTAACATTCAAGCAGATCATATAAAATGCAAGTCTAGGCAGGGATATAAGTAATGTTTTATGTTGTGGAATACAACTCTGAGCATAATGAAAGCCTTCATTAAAAGTGAGCTAAAAGATGAAATAAATGGCTGTCCTCCAAAATGTAGTGCTCTGAATAGTGGAAGTGTAGTAGGGCAGTAACAGTAACTGTTGTTGTTCTCCATGACAGACTGCATGAGACAGCGAAAGCAAATACACTCACAAATGTGACTCATAAGGAAGGGTGGCAAGAAAGTTGAGTCACCTAGAGTTTGCCCCAGGCAGATAGGAAATGCAACAATTTGGTTTAATGAGATTCTGTGGTTTGATGACACCAAACTGAACCTTTGAACCTCAAGGCTGTATTTGACTGAAACCTAACACTGCATGCTAGATTCAGTTTTATAGCAAGAACTGGAAAACTCATAATGTTGAAAGGAAAATGGATTGAGGTAATACAGAGGAATTCAGTAGGTAAACATGAATTTGATTCTTGTTCCATCAGTGAGTGAGAACATACAGTAATAGCTAATGTAGGTAATGTAGCTATTATTTTTTATTGTATCTTTAAGCTACTTTAGTAATATAGTTTATAAATTGTTTTATGATTTATACATTTATTTATTAGTATTAGGAAAATTTACTAATTTTTATTATTGTTTTCTGGGTTTATTTTCTATTTTTAAATATTTTTGTTATTATTTAGCTTGACATGGGAATGTTTTTTTAAAATCTTTTATTCCTTGTCCTTTAGTCTCTGTAGTAAAGAAAAAAATAAGAAGTAAAGCAACATGCAGGATGCTTGATGCGTGTTATCATGTTGAAATCTGGTTTATAATTGGTTCTTATTAGATTATGAATAGTTAACTATCAGTTATATTTGTCAGTGTTTTATTTATTTATTTATTTTAAGTATTATAAGGGCCTTGAGGTATTTGGTTAAAAAAAAATTTTTCTAACCTTGTTTCTTTCTTTCTTTTGTTTGGCTGAATATATCAGATTTCATGGTATAGTACAAAAAAATCTATGAAAATGCAAGGGTAGTGAATGCTTTTTGTAGACATTTATCTTTGGTTGTCTATAGTGAGCCTTTACTATATAGTCTAATTGCTGACATGCATAATTGCAGTTTTTTACATGCTATTTGTACTCTGTAGTTCAAAAACAGTTCAGTCTGAAATAATACATTGCAAAAATAAACAATTGCAAATCAGGCAGGGTCACCTGGGTGTGAAAGCTTACCAGTGGAACAATGCTTTGATTGGATAATTTTATTCACAGGAACTAAATGCTGTCTGTCATTGTTAGTGCCTCTTCAGAAGTTCCTTAAGCCCACCAGTTCAATCTGATGTGAAGATGACAGAAAACAGAGTGCATAGTCAGAAAAATTCACAAGGTTTGAATAAGCAAGTTGAGCGTTTCCACCCCCTGAGGTTTTAAGACATATTTTGGAAGATCTTAAAGCTGTGTACTAAATAACATGCAACTGCATTCATTTACCTCTCTTGCTCTAGAGAGGTTTCAATAGACAAATCATAAAATGTGTCATAGCGTATCTGCTGGATATTTGGAAGTGGAATGCATTTTGTAATGGCTGGTGGTGCCAGCCTGTAGCCCCAAGGAAGAGCAGGGGGTGGACAGGAATAGCAGCCCACTGGCCCATTTTATTCTGCCAATCAACAGAAGGCTTCTGGGTAACACTTTACAATAAGGTTCTATACTTAGTGCATTAGACATCATGAAAAAACTATGAAAAATTGTTTTTACAGCATTTAACAGGGTTTATTGTTAGTTAATAGTGTATGATCTAATGTTAGCTTTTAGTGTTAAAATGTATTAGTAGGCTGTTTGTAGAAATTAATTTAAATAAACGGGCAATAATATATATTGTTTTTCCACAGGATGGACGGATTGAGTTCTCAGAGTTCATTCAGGCCCTGTCTGTGACCTCACGTGGGACTTTGGATGAAAAGCTCCGCTGTAAGCAAGTTTTTGATTAATAAAAGCCCATTCAAGTGAGAATCAGTGAAAGACAGAAGGAGTAAAGTACCTTTGTGAGATGCTTCATAAAACAGTAAGCATTCTTAAAATACAAAATCCCAGCAATGACACTTGTCACATTTAAAAATCAATGTATTTAAAAAAAATAAATAAAATAAAAAATTAAATATATATATATATATATATATATATATGTGTGTATATATATATATATGTGTGTGTGTGTGTATATGTATATGTATATATATATATATATATATATATATATATA